TTACTGGGAACAACAGGTAATTGTTTATGCAATTATTGCTGCTCAGTGATTTGCATACAATGTTTATGTAACCGTTAAACATAGGCCACAGCTCTCAAATATTAAAGTAGTAATTACAGTGGAGCTCTGCAACATGCAACATTGTTCAGTTCTTCTTTTATGTTGCACATTCGTAACAACAGGAGGATGTTGTTGTTTGACTCTGAGAGCACGCCAGATCTCATTGCTACGTCGCGACGCTCTCGACGAGGGGGTGGAACGCATCTGAGAGGAGCGGACGCCGAGCAGGTTGAGCGATGACATCGGCTCGCACGCCACTACCAGGCGGATCAAAACATCGCAGAACCGTCAGAGATGGCGACAGTTTAAAGAGGCCTTCATCCAGCAGTGGATTGAGCATGGTAGATGGAGGTGATGAGATGAATAATGGTCACCGAGATCGGTGACCATTAGTTTCGTTATATAAATCATCAACAATGTTGATCTGGTTTTACGTGGAGCAAAAAAACGTGTGTCTCGAATAATGAGCAGGTGAAGTCTTGGGGATTGGAAGCGGTGTGGAGCAGCCTCGCGCTGCCTGGCCAAGGGGCTGGCGTGTCGTGCCTGGGCTTGCAGAGCGCAGTCGCTCCCGTTCCTCATACCTGCCACACTTGTTTTTACAAGAGCCGACACCTGGCGTCCCCTCCCCCACAGCCTGCAGCCAACTCGCCGTCTTCCCACCACCCACCCCCTGGCCTCCACTCTCGCCCTCTCCGCACGCCACACTCAGGAGCTGCGCCTCCACTCTCGCCTGCCCTCTTTCATACAATCGCACACCTCGCTGGCTCGAAGCTCCGGTAGATTCACTTCAGCGGACCAACCCTGACGACGCCACGCTGAGCCTCAATCAACACAGACCCCTCGCATTTCCCACGCCTCATTCTGCAGATGTGAGAATGTTTCCGAGTGCGCTTCACTCGCTCGGCGCTAATCCGCGTGTGGGGTGTTGGATTAAGGGAGCAGTGAGTTGTGTGCGCGATCCTCTCTGTCCAGCAACATTTAGCCGGGGAGTCTTGGTGGGAATAATTCTGTCACAGCATGGCAGGTTGCCAGTGGAACTCGGGGAGCGGGGAGCACGCGACGCGCACGAGCGCAGTCGATGTGTCCTGCGGAGACAGATGCTGGGCTATGCGGTGTTCATCACGGGGTCCATCACGGTGTCCATCACGGGATCCATCACAGTGTCCATCACGGGGGTCCATCACGATGTCCATCACGGTGTCCATCACGGGGTCCATCACGGTGTCCATCACAGTGTCCATCACGGGGTCCATCACGGTGTCCATCACGGTGTCCATCACGGGGGGTCCATCACGGTGTCCATCACGGGGTTCGGGCGACTGACGGCGAGCGCCGGCCCAGGGTGCTGGTCCCGGGCTGTGCCGTGATGGGGCTCTCTCCTTTCTCCCCCTCCCCTCTTCCTATCTACGCGTATTTTGTTGTAAACCTTCGTAGAAACATCTTCAGATGCGGTTGCATTTATCGGCGCGATACATTTTCATCGGCGAAGGCGTTGTTGTTTGCGCGAGGAGCCTCTGAGCGGTTTTGTAAATCCGTGGCTTTTGGTGTCTGCCTTTCTCTCCAATCGAGTGGCCACATTTTCCACTGCAAACCAACCCCAGACATATTTCTCTGTCAGCACTCGGTCTGTTATCCAAACTCTGCAGTCGACCGTAATGCAGTCCAACACGAACGACACCGGCACCAGAACTTTATGCAAATCGATTCTTGCCGCCCGGCCGCAGGAACAAATTCCCGGGCCGTCCCGGGTGAATCCGGACAGGTGGCAGCCCCACCTTGCAAGACTGTGTGGTGGATGCGATTGCCATGCAAACCTTGGAACCTTGCCCTTGCATTATATGCACAGCACCGCATATTGTATTTGCAGTGTTTGAATGTTTGTATGTGCAACGAGTTTAAACAAAATGGCTTCCAAATAAGTGTTGGTGATCTTGCATACAGATCGTCACAATAACTGCTAATGCTAATAATGAATTCTGTATTTGCAAGAAAACAATATTGGTTACGTTTATACGGCGCTTGCCGAAATGCATCAGCATCTCAAGCGCCTTCCGTCTCATCTGAACCACTCGAAGGGCACCCCCAGTGGCAGCTTCCCCCGTGCAGCGCAAGGCGACCACTCGGCACTGGGCCTGCCAGTAGCGGGCGGTTATTGCGATGTGTAAACTCATTTGAGTAATTTGTCCAGTTTACTTATGGAATGGCAACTCGGAGCGTTAACTCATAGGAACAGCTAGAAGCAATTGTCGGCTCAGTTAACGTTGTACCGGCTCCGTAATGCACCGGGCATTGTGACGTCGGCGCAACTCCCGCCGTGCGAGGTTCCGTTTGAATGTCACGCCAGACAGAAGATTCACGCGGACCCAAGTAGCCGTCCTGTGTGATGGGAACTCATCACCGCGGGTGTGGGTAATCGTCGTGGTTTGCGAGTGCACCCTCCCCTACAGCTGTAGGCGCACCAGGAACTTCTAGAGCTCTCTCTCGCTCTCTCTCCAGCGGAGACCCTTCTGGCAGCAGTGGCGCGAGCGAGGGGCTGCGGAGGGAGTTGTCTGGCGCCTGCCGCGTGCCGCAGGAACGACCACTCGGGTCGCGCTTCCCGTTACATCCAAAATCGGTGTCAAGTTGCCGATTTCATTCACGCCATGCTTTGGATGAAGGCGCATCGGTCGCCAGGACCCTCCTTGCAAGAGTCATTTGAATGACACGTCACTATTTCGTATGCCTTGCCATATTTCTTTTAGCGCCGATGAACTCGCTTACGCAAACTGACCCTTCAGGCACAGGGTGAGCTGTGGTTTGGCATTGCGAACTGATCCTTGAGGCACAGGGTGAACTGTGGTTTGGCATTGCGAACTCACCCTTGAGGCACAGGATGAGCTGTGTTTTGGCATTGCGAACTGATCCTTGAGGCACAGGGTGAGCTGTGGTTTGGCATTGCGAACTGACCCTTGAGGCACAGGGTGAGCTGTGTTTTGGCATTGCGAACTGACCCTTGAGGCACAGGGTGAGCTGTGTTTTGGCATTGCGAACTGACCCTTGAGGCACAGGGTGAACTGTGTTTTGGCATTGCGAACTGACCCTTGAGGCACAAGGTGAGCTGTGGTTTGGCATTGCGAACTGACCCTTGAGGCACAGGGTGAGCTGTTTTGGCATTGCGAACTGACCCTTGAGGCACAGGGTGAGCTGTGTTTTGCATTGCGAACTGATACTTGAGGCACAGGGTGAGCTGTGTTTTGGCATTGCGAACTGACCCTTGAGGCACAGGGTGAGCTGTGTTTTGGCATTGTGATTCCAGTGAAGAGAGCGAGACCAAAAGAACCCGCCGGGAGTGGCGTCTCGCACACCGCAGTCCTTCGCTCTGCCACCCCATACCAAACACGCCCTCGAGAGCCGTTTTGATGGAATGATTCGAAGCGCAGCACTCTTGCTGCATTCTAAACGCTTTTGTACAGCTGTTGGTGACTGGGTCCAGACTCTCTGATCCGCTGGTTGTCACTGCCTTGACCACGACAAGCCCAAGGCGTTCGGTCACGCCGTCTCAGTCAAGCCGACACTCTGAGACTAGCGTCGCGCTGTCCGGCACAGCCAACTCTAAGGATTGGTGCTATTAGGTCACCTGTAGTTATCCCTGTTTAATAATGTAACTACAGAGTGCTGGGAAGTAACGCAGGTCAATATTACTCCCCCCATAGGTGAGAGTTTGTTGTTTGAACGATGAAAAGTTCACGGCACTCGAAGTGGACGTCAGGCCCTGCCACGCTCGCTTGTCCCCCAGCACCTTTGATTTCATCATCACCATCATCATCACCATCGCCACGTTGTCATCATCATCATGAGCCGGGCATGGTGGTGCACGCCCGTAATCGGTGCTCTTGGAGTGGAATGTGCAGAGATCATCGCGCGTGGGGCTGCCAACTTGCTGGGCAATCACGTGGCGTAACACCCAGGAGGTTGCTGACATACCTGTGGGAACATTGGATCTATTATATACAGTATTTGCAATGTGTGGATGTGTTGTTGTTGTTGTTGACAACGTACACATTATTAGCTTGTATAATAAATATACGGTATTACGTAGTTACTATTTATTGCAGTACAGTTGTGTAAACGTTGGCAAATGAAATACATGAGTCATTGCCTTTGGGAATATGAAATTTAAAATGTAGAGGTGATTTCACATTGCAAAATCAAACTGGGTTTGTTTTTTTGTACGTGTCATGAAAGCACGAAGTTTCAAGTTCTGCTTGCGACTGATGTCGTCCTTCCCCCGGACCTCCGATTAGCACGGTTGGCCACGTGGGGCGCAAAAGAAGTTCAACGTAGACACGTGTGTGCCCGGTCAGCGTTTGACTACGTCCACTGTAGCGCTCTCTATAGCGGAGGCCCCCTACCGCTAGCGGTGGAGTGAGCAAGGCATTGCAGGGCTGCACCTCTACCCTATTCCAACTCTAGCAACAACATCACCGAGCTGCTGCCACCGGTTTCAAAAACGTGCGAGGGAAGGAACGAGCCACGGGGCTTGCCACGCGTGCCGCAGCAGCACGCCCTGCCCCGCAGGCAGGCACGGCAGCGGGAGAAGCGACATCAACAGAAGCGACATCAACAGCGAGAGAAGCGACAGAAATATCGGCAGGAAAGTAGCAGCAGGTGCAATAGCGGCAACAAAGGTAGCAGCAGCAGCAGGAAAGTAGCAGCAACAGCAACAAGGAGAGCAGTAGTAGGAACAGCAGCAAGGTAGAAGCAGGTGCAGCAAGGTAGAAGCAGGTGCAGCAGCAGCAGGAGGAGGCCACAGGCTGCGCGCGCTGCGTGGAACGCAGAGCCAGGCCGGGCGTGGCTCTGCGTGGCGAGGCGGCCCCCTGTCAACCCCCACTGCGCGCACGAGCCGAGTCAGCCCGCAGCCCTCCCCGCCCCGTGACACAGTCAGCCGGACCCGCCCCGTGGGCTCAGCGAGGCAGGCTGCTGCTGGTGAGTGAGGTGAGCAGCAAGCAGGAGGCTGCTGCTGCTGCTGGTGGAACACAGTGCCACGTGCTGGCAAGGACCGAGTTGCTGGGCTAGACGAAGATTTACAGGGTGGTGACTTTTGTTTTGTTCCAACCTGCGGGGTTTTTGAGGGTTCCCCCCCCCCCCGCATTTGACTTTTTGGCGGAACGTTGTGAAGTTGTCCCGCACGGGTTTCCACGCGCCTGGGTGCAAGTTTCCAGCGAGCCCCGTCGAAGCCGCTCGTCGGGCGGCCGCGCTCTGGTCCAGCCGGCACGCCGGGTGGCGGCCGGACTCCAGGTCGAGTGAGGATCGGGGAACTCTCCGCCTGGATTGAGATCCACCCGGATTGGACCGAGGAGAAGTATCGCCACCTGGCTGGATTTACCTGCGCGCTCTCATGGCCGAGAGCGACGTCTTCATCCTCAAGTCCCCGACTTTTTCCGGGCGGAACTCCCCCGCCAACTACCCCGGAGCCCCCCAGTTCACCTACTCGCAACTCGAGGAACGCTTCAAGCAACTCCAAGGTACCGTGCAGGCCCCTCCTCTCGCCTACGGCAGTACTCCAGTGCTATCTGTATCACGACCACGGTATTGTATACTGTAGGTATTGTATACTGTAGGTATTGTATACTGTAGGTAAAGGTGCAGCTCTGAAATGCCCTACTCACGCCACCGCTGGCGGAATATCCCGAACGAGAGGAAGGTGACGGAAGAGAGGCCACCCCCTACCGTAGAAGGCAAATTTGGTCCGCTCTGGCTTACTGGCCAGGCATTTTTGGAAGAGGTGGGACTACTCACACTTTCCCCCACACATTCACACTGCTGGGTCACATGCGGGCAGGGGGGGGGTAAGAAACGTGCGCAATGTTGTAATTGCCGCGCCGAGAGGCCCCGTAATCACAAGTTAAGTTTGCTTAACATCCCACGGACAGTCTATGATGATTACACAGTCTACACACTAGCAGCATACTGCTCAGTCAGCGCGCGTAGGGGCGGGGTGGAGCGGTGGCACAGTGGTTAGCACGCACTGCCCTCGACACTACCGTGGTGTGAACCCGCACACGCGAGTTAGACTCCGGGCTACATCAGTGGGGCAGGGATGTGTGAACCACCGGCCTCGGACACCATTCTCCAACATTCGACCAACCCGCACTGACCAGCGTGGTGAAGTATGGTGAAACAAGCCCCCCCCCCCCCCCCATGAGACTAACACAGCATGGTAGATAGGGGAGGTCTTCATCCATCACTGGGCCATACATTTTTGTTTTATTTGTACACGGAGTGGCGAAAACTATCCATGATTACCCTTTCAGAAAGCAATCGCAAACGCCCTAAATGTGCGCACGCGTACAGCCGGTGAGAGCCACGCAGTACGTGGGCAGCCAGCCACGCAGTACGTGTACAGCCGGTGAGAGCCACGCAGTACGTGTGCAGCCAGTGAGAGCCACGCAGCACGTGGGCAGCCAGCCACGCAGCACGTGGCCAGCCAGTGAGAGACACGCAGCACGTGTACAGCCAGCCACGCAGCACGTGGGCAGCCAGCCACGCAGCACGTGGGCAGCCAGCCACGCAGCACGTGGGCAGCCAGTGAGAGCCACGCAGCACGTGGGCAGCCAGCCACGCAGCACGTGGCCAGCCAGTGAGAGCCACGCAGCACGTGTACAGCCAGCCACGCAGCACGTGGGCAGCCAGCCACGCAGCACGTGGGCAGCCAGCCACGCAGCACGTGGGCAGCTAGCCACGCAGCACATGGGCAGCCAGCCACGCAGCACGTGGGCAGCCAGCCACGCAGCACGTGGGCAGCCAGCCACGCAGCACGTGGGCAGCCAGTGAGAGCCACGCAGCACGTGGGCAGCTAGCCACGCAGCACGTGGGCAGCCAGTGAGAGCCACGCAGCACGTGGCCAGCCAGCCATGCAGCACGTGGGCAGCCAGCCACGCAGCACGTGGGCAGCCAGTGAGAGCCACGCAGCACGTGGGCCACAGAGCCTCGACACCGGTGGACTCGTGACACGCGCGTTCACTTGACCCGTGACCATTCGTACCGCGCACACTGCACGCAACATGGACCCCGCCAGGGCAGCGCGTCGCTTTATTTTCTCTAAGAACCCAGGCCACGCCCTGCTGATGAGACTCGGGGCAGACGAAACCGTGCCCGTTCAGGATTTGCTTGCTTTGTTACACATTCTTCTGCAACATCGCGTGTGTCAGCAATGCAGCTGTTGGGACCTTGAGTGTCACTTTATTTTGATGCGATGAAGACGGGCCTTTGTCTCTTCACAAATACAGCGGAGTATACGTACTCGTGAGAAGCGAAAGTGATGAAGTTGGAGCGGTGGCGCAGTGGTTAGCGCACTGGCACTTCAAACCTTGGGTCACCCGAGTTATAACCCCACCTACCTTCATTAACCCGCACTAACCAGCGTGGTGAAGTATGGTCAAACAACCCCCGTCATAGCGCGAGGAAGCCATACGCCTTAATCTACAAGTGGATTGCGGAAGAAAGGATGTTTGTTGTTGTACGGTGTGTTAAATACTTGCAGAGTAAAGTGTTCGTGTGGACCGCGTGTGTGCGAGGCTGGTGATGAAGGTATCTCTGGCTGCTAGTGTGCGGCACGTGTACAACATTACTCCCGCCGTAGCTTTACCATTGACATCGGCCACGTGTTCGATTAATTTCTAATGACGTGGTCATGAGGAACACGACACACTGTGGGTGCTGTGCGTTTACAATCCCCGACTGCAAAATGCAGGGCCGTCCATTGGGGGTGCGGACCCCCCCCCCCCATCCTCAAAACTAAATCGGAAGTATTGCATCTGATATCGTGACGGCGAAGCGTGATGCCCCCCCCCCCCCAAGCATGGGACCCCGGGCGGTCGCCCCGATTCGCCGTACTCTCGGGACGGCTTCTGACACAATGTAGGTGTCATGCTTTAAGTGCAGGGTGATCCTGTGACAGATCTAATATGCCACTAAAATAATAATATCAATTACAGAGAGAGCTAATTTTTATCTCAAAGCCTCTGCACAACTCCCATCACTCTCACGACAATAAATATATTCACACTCGTCTCTGTGAGATATGGAGCCATCGATTATGTAAATCAATCGCTTGCCTCCGAGAGGAAAGCGATCGGGCCATTTCTCGGCAGTGGTTCTGAATAAGCGATCTGCTGGATGACTGTAGCGGGTTGTGTACCTTTGGTGAATCATTTCAGGTGGGAACGAGTGTACACTACATAGTCCAGTGCCACGTGGGTACCTCTGTGTTGTGTCCTGTAACATGCTGCCCACCTGGGGTGGTGCCGCTGTGTGAGGAATCTCCTCGTCCTCTGCTGCCCCTAGTGGCTGGGAATTCCTTCCCACGGCCATCCGTGCTGTTGACTACATTTGTCTTTGATCACATCCAGGCTCAACACATTTTCCCGTCCGCTTGTGAATGGCTTCGTGAGATAAATATACCCCGTTGTTTCTGGACAGCGTCTTGAGACGGAGTTACAGACACAACAATAAATGCCAATTGTATCGGTGCATGGACTTCATGTGGAGTGGAGGAGGCAGCTCTGTGATGATGGATTAGAAATTGCAACGATCCGTGAGTCTATCCGCAGGTGTTCGTGTATAGCGCTCGCCATGTGCAGGGTCCACGTTTCATTTGTTGACCGTGTTACTTAGGAATTGTGCAATTGAAATACTTCTCGTGTCCTGGCACCACATTAATATATTTACACAGTATTGGACACGTGATGATGTGGCCAGCAGTTGATAGATCATGGCTCACGATGATGATGATGTGGCTAGCAGTGGATGGTTGATGACGTTGCTGTGGCGAGTTCCTGCACGGTGTGCGGCTTCCGCGGGAGCCGGCGGACCGAGAGACATTCCGCGGTCCGTGGCTCGCCAGTGGCGCGTCTCTGTGTCGCCAGATTGGCCCCGCTGCCCACGCACGGTGGCTCTCGAGGTGCCCGCGTCGCGACGCTCCCGGCTGTTGTCCCGAGCCGTGTTCCGCCACAATTCCGGTCGTGTTGCCGGTCCCGTTGCGGCCGGAAAGTTTTCCCTGATTTTTGTAACGCTGAAAAGGCAAGAGGTAGTGGGGGGAAATCGCATAATAGAATTACCTGTTTAAGTTAAATCACTATACGTGGCAAACACAATATCGAGGTCACGTACATAAGGTCAAGTAGGTGACCTTGGCAGGAGACGTTGCCTCGAAGGGATGGAGGCCGGTGGTCGAGATTCACGATGGAATGGCAGCCGAAGGAGGGCCACGTCCACTGTGCAGAGTGGACAGTGACATCGGCTCATGTACGGGACCTGGATTGGTTGTTGTATCGCAGGATCTACGAGCGACGGTGATGGCTTGGAGAAAATCCTTAAGTTTCAAACAACACACACGTGTAAAAAGCAGAAAACTTCTGTGTGTATGCAAAACCATCAGCAGTTCCTGAAGAAGCGCATTGTGCATACATTTGGAAAGCCTCTATCGAATACCACGGCATATGGTTTATGGAAGGAAACACTGATCCGCATCCTCAAGTGCGAGCCTGTAAGAGTACACCTTGGAGGTGACTTGTCGAGTGGGAAAATCCTGCTAGGCCTGGCAGACTGCAGTGCTAGGGAAGCGTGGCGGTGGTGGTGATGGTGTTGGTGGTGGTGGTGTTGGTGGTGGTGGCATCGCTGGAATTGTCCACGGTGACCCCTTTAACATCAGTGCCACCCAGGGGGGTGCCTCTGATTGCGAAGCAAATGGGTGGCACTGCTCTTAGATCACATTTTCAAACGCAAAAACGAAAAGCCATGTAATACATCCGTTATGAAAATGTCATTCTGACATTATTTCCCCATACAACTTTACCGGTAATAGATCAAAACGCAAAAGTGCTAAATGTTTAATATGATCATTTCCTGATCTCTTGTCTGCAAAGCGAGTTTGCTTTATCAAGGTCACGTGCCGATAAGTAATTGGCCTGATAGGCTCCCAGAACACAGACCCAAACATTGCGCCTCCTGGCTGGGACATTCTGCCTCATAGACACCGGCAGAGCCATCTTCCGCATCATGAGAACATCACCAGGCCAATGCGGGCATCGCCTTGGTGCCTAGAACATCACAGACAAGCAACAGTTGTGCGGTTGTGGCCACGCAACCCAAACTCTGAAACAGAGTCAACCACTGTAGTCTGTGCTCTTTCAGCGGAGGAGGAGGAATGGCAAAACTACACAAATTCTCTCCTGAAGCCCACTTGCGGCGAGCAAACCTCGACGTTGGCATTTAGCTCTTGGACAGATTGCCAAGCGCATATTGGAACAGAATCGGCCGGATCGGCAGTTGACCCCCCACCCCCTCGTCGCCATCGACTCTGTTACATGCGTGTTGAGCCTCTTTGGTACCGTACGTAGCCAACCGTGCTAGTCGGAGGTGTGGGGGCAAGGACAACGAGTTGTTTTAAAGCGCTTGTAAACGAGGATCGCAAATGCCTCGCTCTGGCCGTGCGTCGGCGGAGAGCTGCGTGGAGTCGGCGTGC